TTTTTTCTGTTTGAGAAAAGATCACACATCGGCACTTTTGTAATTAAACTAGCCCCAATAAAATTGCAATAAAGGTTAAAATTAAAGATGTTATATCTATTTTTAAATATTTTAAGTTATTTTATTGGATTCCTTACCTCAGAGTATGTAAGTGTACAAATTTTCAGCTTTCCATTTCACACAGAACAAAAACAAAGACTAAAACCATTTTTCAAAACGACGGATTTTTGTTGGTTCATGGCAATGTTTAAATAGTCCTATAATCTTTTAAACTATTTGGAATTAGATGATAAAATTTTTGGGAATGTTCATAAACTTATTAAAATCTTTGAGTGGTGTAAAAATCAGTAAAATTTGAGACTTAAGGTTAAATTTTATAAAAAAATTTGATTTTTTCACATGGAATTGCCCCTACAAGTATGTATTCATAATAATCAGTGCATTTTCTTTGCTATTGGCAACATTGTAACTTTTTACAACCATTTTGTATGATGTCATCTTGTTATTAACTTGTATAGTACACACACACACACACACACACACACACACACACACACACACACACACACACACACACACACACACACACAAATTGTCGACCAGCCTCCCACCCTTTCTTTACCTAATTTTCTGATGTAATCCTGTGTTACATTGTTTCCTGTCTGGACAGTATTAGAGTTAAGAATTTGCTTAGGAGCAGTATAAAACATGCAAAAATGCTAATTTTGAATGTATAAACTAATTTTTTGTCAGTTTTGATTCTTGTCACCTAAAATTGCTGATAATTTATTATTATAAATTTTTATCTGGTATAATACATAAAAAATACAAACATATTTATGAAAAATTATAAGGTTAGGCTCAAAACCTAACTCAAAAATAGAGTTCTAGTCAATTAGCCTAACTTTTGTGACCTTGTAATGGCTGGGTGTACAGTGAAACATATATATTCAAAAACAAGTATTGGTCTTTCATTTACCATATATATAAAAAATTCCTATGGGGTATAGCAATAATATGAAAAAAACAACATAGATATTTTTTTGACTGAGACCAACTATCTGTAAGTATCAGGCATAGCTTATTAGTGAGCCTTTTCAAATCTAGTATAGTACCTAAAAATGAACAGAGTTAGGGCTGTTCATAAATAACAATGTAGGAGTGTGGGGGGGGGGGTGTTTGGACTTTGTGACAAGGGAAAGGGAGGATGTCTGAAAACTAACAAAGTGTCTGATGTAATCTATCGAGAGCATCCAAATGCATGACGTAATTTATCAAAATCCAAATAACTATTAAATAAATTTGGCAAATATTATTTTTAATCTGATATTTAAAAGTAGGATCAACCAAAATTCTGTTTCGGTATTGGTTTCGGCTGAAACTTCAATTTGAACCGATACCAAAATTTCAGTTTTGGTACTTATTATAAGTTTGATAAAAAGCAAAATTTTGGTTAAGAAACATACCGATTTTTACTTAATTTAGAAAGACAGTAATTTTTTAAAATTTTCACAAAAATATTGAGAATTTTCACAAAATACCTCAAAAAAATCTTGCTTTTTAGAGAAAATCTGCCAGTTAAATTTTGCTATTAACTTATATCGCCGACTTGTTTAAAATCTTAATTTTGGATACACCTGTAATTAATCTTAACATAAGACGATATTTATTTTAATAGATAAATAAATTTTTCTATTAAAATAAATTTTGACTAGCTGAAATTTTGGTATCGGTTTCAGCACCAAATTTGAGTACCAGAAATTTCGGTTTATTTCGGTTTTGGTTGATCACTAGCTAAAAAAACTATGCTCAGATTTTTTTGGTTGATCACTAGCTCAAAAAACTATGCTCTCATAGAATAATTTTCAAAAACTCAAGACTCAAAACTCAGGGCTGTTAAGATATTATATTACTTTTTTTTTTAACTTTTTGAACCTTTCTTGTCACTAAGTGTCACAAAATTTAACCCTCCCCCCCCCCTAATCCAGGGGTGTGACATAATTTATAAACAGCTCCTAAGAGTTTTCTTTCTATGAGCATTTTTACATTTTGATGCACATTAATAAATTATCTCAAGACAAGGGGGGGGGGGGAAGAGAATAAAAGGAGGGGAGTGGGAATTTTTGTCCAGATCAATGAAACAGGGAGGGAGGAGGGGGTAGATTTTTTTATGTTACAATATAAGTATTTTTATATAAAATTTTAGTTTATAAATCCTAAATAAAATATAATATTTTTAAATAAAACAAATATTTTTTACAAAACATGCATAAAACTATTTAAATCTAGGGTGGCTTGTGGTCAAATTCGCATTTTCTAACAGCTGTATAACTTCAATAGGATTTAATATGTTGATAATATAAATTTTATACTTTGGTAAGAAATAAATTAAAAGCTCATTTTTGATAAATCAAGATTTACTTGGTCTGTGATTTTTAAAGACTGTTTACACTTGAAAATTGTGTTTTTATGAGTGACTGAAATAATTATTTTCTAGTTTGTTAAGGCCAATTTATAATTTTTTTTTTTTTTTTTTGATAAAAAGTAAAAATTAATAAACGGGGGTCTTAATAAGCTTGGGGTGGGTGGGAAAATTTTACTGAAATTAATAAAGTAAATTAATAAAAATAGTAAAGGTTTATTACTTTAAAAAAATTATCATAAAGTATATCTAAAAAAGTTTTTTAAAATTATTAGATCATTCCTTTTTGACAGCAGTATTAAAGTCAACCTTAATATTCTCTTTCATTTCCAGTAGTACCACAAAAGCCATCTTTGGTCCATTTGTTGTTTCACACCTATATTTATGATTATCCTGATAATTTTATTTCTAAAGTGCCTCTATTTTTTAATGACACAACTATATATTGCTTCAATGCTATCATATTTTGATTGTTTAGAACAAGTAGTCAATCTTTGAATTTGAATCCATCAAAACTCAGTTGTTTACTGCTAATAACTATCATAATATTGTTGATATATATATTGATGAATAGCAGCAGTTTAACTGAGTTCTCTACTATACATCTCTAATTATCTTTCGTTACTTACCTTTCATGGAAACTGTTTTCCTAAAAAATTACAAAATTTGCATCAGCTAAAGTATACTCTCTTCATTATGCTTGCCATTTTTTTACTCATGATGTTGTTCTCTACCTCTAAAAAATTGGATTAGCCTTTGTACAAAAAATGGTTGTCTTATTTAAGCTGGTTCCTCTAATGATGTTTTTTTTCTTTAAGAAACAATCCAAAATTTTTATTTTAATCATTTGAAAAACTGAATAGATTATATCAGTAAAATAGTTTGAAATACTTTTCACAGCGCATGACAGATGTAGTATAGTAGTATAAACAATAATGTATACATAAAAATGTATTTTCATACAACACATGTAAATAATTGTTTTCAAATGTTTAGGTTAAAATGAAATTTTAATAGAAGTTCTCCAATAAGAAAAGATTACCTTGTAGTGGATGAATACCTTGTAAAAAAAAAAATGAACGGAAATTTCAAATAAATAAATAAAAAAATGTATTTTATATAAATATACACTGTTATAAACTCTTATTAACCTGATTAAAATTAGATTAATTTTTTTAATTTTTTTTTTCTTTGATTTTTATTATTAAATGTTTAAAATTTTCACTGCATTTTAGAGCAAAAATTTTTTTATGTTTTTGGTATAGCTATGATTTCATCAGAAATGATAGAAATAAATTTATAATGTAAAAAACAATACCAATCAAGTTTATTTAAATCAACATCAATCAAGTAATCAAGTTTATTAAAATCAACTTTAACCAATTTTTAAGAATTTAAATAAGCTAATATAATTAAACTAATCAATTTTTGGAAAAAAGCATCAATAGCAAATAAAACAACTACTAAAAAACCTTCAAAGTTGCTATGACACAATGGTTAGAGCACTGGACTTCAGATCCAAGGGACTTGAGTTCAAATTTCATTCTAGCCATAAGTAATTTTGACGAGGAAGAGACCACCTAATAAAGATTCCTTAAAAAAACAACAAAGAAAACTCTTTAGGCTATAAAAATACCAAACATTAAGAATAAAATTTTTGGTGCCAGGCATTATAAATTTTACATTATCATAATTTTTGTAAATTCTTATACTAACATTAGTCAAGTTTACTAACTACTGTTAAATTAAACTGTTACTTTGTTTACTTATTTTGCTAACTGCAGTTGCTGCTATTAACAAAACTTTGCCAACTGATGTTAAGCTTGCTAACTACTTTCAAATTTTCAAACTTTTACTTTATTTACCTACTTTGTTAACTACTGATATTGTTGTTAACTACACTTTGCTTTTCTCATACTTAACTATACTGTACTGTTTAAATAAGAAAATTATTCTACTGGTTTTATAACCAATTGAGTAATTTTATAGCAGTGAGTAGTAAAGCAAATCCTGCCAATTAAGTCTTATTTATAAGTTAAACAAAAAGATAAACTAATCAAATTTACAAATAAATTAATTTGTGACATTAAACAGCTAGTACAGAATGAGATTTTATTGAGTTTGCGTATACTATACACATAGTATATGCACACACTATACATACATATATATAATATGTGTATAGTAGTATCTTAAGCCAAAGATTTTTAAGTACTTAAGTAGGGGGAAAAAAAAAACTTCCAGTGTTTCATTTTTAATATGTAATAATTTTTTTTATATTTTGTTGATTAAACATATACTTGGATAATTTGTCGCCAAACCAGCATATACAACGAATATATTGAAATGAGATAGTTAGACGCAAAGTTTAAAAGTTCTTAACAATAGCCTATAAATCAAAAAAATTAAAATTGTTTCAGTTCAGTGCACCTAAAATTTTTAAGTACAGTATATTGGTGTTTGCAAAGAAATACTACATAAATCATTTTTAAACTTTTTTCAACTTTATTGTATAGGCAGGTTTGGCGCTTAACTATCCATTTGATGTAAAGTAAATAAAGCATTTTTTTTGTTTTACTTTTTTCGATATCTGTGTCATCATCACTTAGTATAACAACATCGTCGCCATTTAACGCCATGTTTATTGGTTACAATTCCTCTTAGTTCCGTAGCCCCGTAAAAATGCGAGTTAATGCAAACCCTTTCCTTTTTTTTTTTTTAAAAAAAAAAAGATAATGACGTTGAAACCTATTAATTGTAAAAGTTTTTTGATTTTTATTAATTTTTTTTTTTTTTTTTTTTTTTTTTTTTTTTTTGTGGTTATTAAGGTGCTCCCAGAAGTCCTTACGGTTTTTAACAGAGCACCGCGGAAGAGCATTTAACCAGTCAAGATTGTTCATACTTATTCGTTAATATATTCGTTAATATATCGGGTGGATATATCTCGCTGAGCTACTGAACAAAAAAAGCCATCCAACGGTGACTTAAATGAGCAGCTGTGGCACAGTGGTAGCGCACTTGCCTTAGAAACAAAGGATCCGTAGTTCAAACCCCATCTCTGGGCAAATTTTGCCACATCGGTTAGGAAGGAGGCGTGAACTTTGCGGTGCTCTGTGATAAGACCGTAAGGACTTTTTTTGAGCACTTAAATCACACCTCCTTCTTTACGAATGTCATATATAATTACCATAGTCAGACAGATTTCCTGATTTTCTGATAATTAACTTTATTTAAAAACTTTATTTCAAGTTGATTTTTACAAGATAGTTTTAGTTAACACTAAAACTAATTTAAATCAACACATTTAACTTTATAGACAGTACACACACACACACACACACACACACATAAATATCATAGAAAAAAAATATATATTACAATTGTTTCATGAAAAAACAAAAAAACAAAAACAAAAAATGTCATGAAAATTTACAATTGTTTCAAATTTAAAAAATATATATTTATTATATTACTATCTTAGCTAAAGGTCAGTATAAAATGATACAAAATTTTAAAAATGACAAATTTTGCAAACGCAATTATTACCATACCAATTCTTGATATGTTTTTTGAACACCTCAAGACTTTTTGCGGACATGGTCTCATTATTTAGAGTGTTCCAGAGCGAGGTGGCTCTATAAAAACCCTTATATTACCTATTTTTAGCGATAGATTTTTTGTGTATTTTAAACCAACTAAAAGAAATTGGAACTTATCTGGAGTAGCATCGAGTTTAATTGAAACCAATTGATGGTAGTGATTACTTCTTTTTGCAAATAAAAAATAACCTTCTCAAAGCTATAATCACAAGCATAGATAGTGTCATCATCAGCAAAATTACAAAGTTCCGTATTTTTAATAAATGAAAATAAATCATTTATAAAGATATTAAACAAAATAGGTTCAAGGATTGACCCTTAAGACACTCCAGATAATATATCTACCCAATTTGAGGCAGAAGAACCTATTTTTACCCTTTATTTATGGCCACAAATATAGGATAGTAAGAGATTAAGACTTTCTTTCGAAAAACCATAGGCGCCTAATTTAGCAACTATTAAGTCATGCGGGATATAGTCGTACGCTTTTGCGAGGTCTATTAATATTGATCCAACAACACCTCCACTATTAATACAATCATGCCACTTATTAAATAAAAAACTTGCTGAGTACTATAACCTCTTCTAAAACCACACAAAAGTTTATCAAATCTAGGCTCAATAAATATCAAGATTTGTTCATATAAAATAGTTTCAAAAATTTTAGAAAGGGTTGGTAAAATACTAATTGACAGTAATTTAACTTATCAGAAGGGTCATTCTTCTTAAAACATGGTCTAATATCAGCCATTTTTAGAAATGACGGGAATTTGTCATCATGGATAGTATTATTTCTGCAATCTGTAAGACAGTTCCTAATGTGAACAATATAAGATTTTGACATAAAAGTTGGTATAAATGCAATATTTATATAATAAATATTGCATTTACAAATTGCGTTATTATTGTAAAATAAGATAATCTTATACAAGTTACCATACAATATAATTAAGATTTTAATAATAGGATAGTAATTGCTTTGAATCAAAATCAAATAAGTGTTGTTTTGTTGCACGTTTAAAATGTTAAAATGAATTTAAAGTTTTTACATTACTTGTTAAAAGCAAGTTAGTTAAACATAGATAAAATATGATACGAGAGGGAATAACGACTTCATTGATTTTTAATGTAAGTGTAAAATTTAGTATAAACTTAGTTAAAAAACTGATTTTTTTGAAATTCATATAAAAATGGGAAGAACAGCTAAAAAATAGTAGATGATTGGACAGAATAAGAAAAAACGGAAAAATACAGAAAGGTTGAGGTATATTTTTACCTATTGAAGTACCCACTGAAGGATTTACCTCAGAGACAGCTTCCATCTAATGGTGATATTCTAAGATAATATCAGTTTATCCTTCGCGAGTCACAAGTAAAATACAAACCCACTTCTACTAATGTTGGTTGCAAATTGAAATCAAAATCTAAGGATCTTGTTTGTGAAAATGGTGTTTGAACAGATCCTGATAACTCTTGCTTGGTAACTAGGATTAAAAAAATTTGGGATAATGCTGGGTTTGGCAAGAAATTTGGGATTTCTGTGTACAATATAAAGACCAAAATCATTAAACTTAATCTAAAATACAAGAAACTGATTAAATTGTCTTCTCTAAACTGGAACAGCAGGCTTGATAAGCAATCAAAGTTAGAGAAAGATTTTCTCACAGAATCCTATCAGCTTTTTGACATCTCCACTAAGAATTTTTAAAAAGATATTCTTGCTGATAGATTGAAAACAGATGATTCCAAGCTGGAAGATATAAAGTAAGTTCATTAAATAACACTATTTTAGTAGTGAGATTTTTTTTCCGATTTAAAGTATAACTTAAATAATAATACATTATTTCCTTTAAAATATTTACGTTTAACTCCTTCCATGGCTTGGCCATCTCCAGGAAAAACTATAACAATTATTAACTTATTTATAAGTATCTTAATAGAATTAACTATTTCTTAGTTTTTATGAAGACCAAAAGTTGGATAAGAAAGTAGGAAACTGGGGTAAAATGGGGTAGTGGGGCAAAATGGGGTTTTGAAAATACACCCCATTCAGAGCCTCAGAGCATCGAAAAAAATATTGGATTTGAAATATCGCGAAAAGAGACGTCGCCATCTTTTACTTTTGTTCACGTTTTCTTCAAGTATCGTCGTTGAGAGGTAAATACAATTTTGTCAACTTTTTCATCTTATTTTTTAACATTATATTTCAAGAAGCAGCTTCTTTGTAATTAAAGCTTTGAATTAAATATATTATTGTTCCTGAATGATATTATATATTAAGCAATTAAGACTCTTATATATTCATGAGCTTTGCTCTGCTTTGTTTTTTCGAACAGTTTTATTATGCCTCCTATGTTGGGTAAAATGGGGTGTCTCAAAGGGGCAAATGGAAGCCAAATAAAAAAAGAATCCAAAGAAAAACAAATCTGTCAAAAAATCAAATGAAGACACACCATGCCTCTATTGTGAGGATCTTTATTCCAGCAGCACATAGAGTTGGGTCTCATGTACTGAGTGCCACAGATGGGCCCATTATTCTTGTGCAGGCATTGATGAAAGAAACAAAAAACCTTACTTTTTGTGTGAGCTATGTACTAGCAGTGATTGATTATATTTGCACTAGAAGTGATTGATTATATTTGTACTAGCAGTAATTGATTTATCATATTTGTTTGAGTTCCTCCTTTGACCCCATTTTTCCCCATCCATTACCCCGCTTTGCCCCATGCTTCGGGTAAAATGGGGTTTTTATGTTATTTTTTAAAAAATGTAAATAAATCAATTAATTTACATTCTTTTGACTTGTTGTTTTGTTACAATGTTGTCTATGTTGTATTCTGATGTTTCAACATTTATTTGTAATTATTTTATTTATTTTTGTGACTTTTATAGGGTTTCATTCTTAAGTACCCCATTTTACCCCAGTTTACCCTATATACGGGAACAAACGTTGACGAAGGCTACAGTAGGAGAGTACTCGATGCAAACAGCAGAAAGAACAAGCTAAATAAGTTGAGAGAGAAAGAATTAAAGAGACAGAAAAACGTAAAAGATATCAATGGTGTTTTGTTGTCACATGACTCCATGACAGAAGAGATTCAATTCAGCAATGAAGAAGAAAAGCCAAACGAGGACTCTGAAATCAGCGATAGTATTATTTAAATAACATAGTTGTAATTTTCACAAGCTAAAACTGTTTTATTGAAAAGTATATAACTATAAATAGGTAGAAAAGTATTATAAAATGATATCTAGGTACAATTCTGGAGAGAGGATAAATCTAGCAGTGTATGTTGAAAAGCTCATTTAATGTACTGCTATTCCAGCAACAAGGTTCAATGTTGGTGTACGACCTCATCTGGCAATTTTAAGTGAAGTATTTAAAGCTAGACGTCTAGAAATTAATGATATACCGCTTTCACGAAGCACACATAATAGAAAAAAGTTCAAATATAGAACTTGAAGGAGACTTGGAGTGGGTTTCAATAACTAATCATCTTAAAGGCCGACGGCTTATTCTTCATTTTGATACCAAACTGTTGGAACAAATTACCACTGGGCTTAACAATATTCAAAAAATCGAGCACTTTGCAGTCTCAGTGAGTTCCACGATGACGATACCATGGAAGACTATCTTTTAGGTATTTTTCAATGTCTCTCTTCAAAGGGAGTTGACCAAGCAGAACAAGTGCACAATCTTTTAGAATATTACGGATGTAAAGAACAGATCATTGGTATATGCTGTGATACAAATGCAAGCAATACAGGCGGAGTCAATGGAGCAGTCCAAATTCTTACAGATATTTTGAAAATACCAATTATGTGGATAATGTGTAGGAGACACATATATGAAGTACATGTATCCTCACTATATGGCTGCTCTTACTGGTGAGAAAACTAAAGGTCCAGGAAGAGCTCTTTATGTCAAGCTAAAGAACAGGTGGCCTGAAATCTGTGAGAAATTTTTAATGAAGTTAAAAATTTATGCAAATTGGACTGGCAAAGAGATGATCTGAAGATTGGCTCTGTTCTTCGCACTGTTGCCGTGGAAGCTAAGAAATTTTTGACGAATGCAACTACTGATATGGTGTTTTCAAGGAATGATTATGGTAT